CCTTTTATAATCGCGTATTGACTAAAGAGTGCGAGTTTTCCCAACGTTGAACATACGCACTGCCGTCCAGGTCCGATTTATGGAAGCACTCTCTCATAATATGTATGTGGTACCACCTAGTGAGTTCTTTGATTTCTAGATTACTTCGTATCATCAATATTCCGAGCTTATTGTCAATTTGATTTATTTGAGTGATTGATTGCGTTGTATCGATGAATTTGTTTCAACATCAAAACAATACTCTATTCGATGGCTGGCCCAAGATGTGGGATGAAAAACCTTCCGCTCATTACAAAGTAATAGTTTGCGGAAAAGTCGTTTGTTTTCTGATATCTCTATATATATATATTTCAAATGGCAGGCATTTTGATAGTTATCATTAGCCCTTTAGCTGGCTTCGGGCTTCACAGAAGGGAAAGAACATCATACTGGCTTCGGGCTTCACAGAAGGGAGGAACATTAAAGTGAGAAAAAATCGACAGAGGGGAAGAAGAGCGACTCACAGTTGTAAAAGAGACAGACAGACACAAAGGCAGAGAAAAGGCTAGATGAGTACTGTGGAAGGGGTGGAATATGACATAAGGTGGGGTCATGGTAGTTTGAAGTGAGAAGTCAATTACCAGTTAATAGACTTTTTTGCCGTTTGTGTATACGTTGCCTGTGATGTACCACGTGGAGGAATTGAGGTGGGATTCATATTTGGCACAATTGCATGGTAGACAGTTGCATTCATAAATAAGCGAGTTCCTCGTAATTACATTTGTACACACAAACACACACACACACTTGTAATTACACACATTTACCCTCTGACAACTGTTAGTTTGTGGGCATTTCTCCATTTATTCCAAGATGCGGCGTTCACAGCCCTCATTTTTTGTATCTATTTATAGCCTCTTTTTGTTTGCGCAGAGGAGTTATAACAAAAAAAACAGTAAGGTTGTGTTAGTTGAGGTATTCCTCAATTTCCTCATTACTTTTTGGTTGTTTTGGGCTTATTTACACTGGACTGTTGTTGTTTATTCTAGCAATGTTAAAGTGTATTTGCGCAGATTTGCAAACAAATTAATTCGGTATGCAAGTAGAGCATATATTTGCCTTACCCTAAATGACTTGCGACCTAACTTGACTGAAGAAGTGCTCTTGATCAATTTCAATCAATCAATGTATCCCAAATGCTCATTCGAGAGTGGATGAGAGTAAATGCCTTATTTTTTCTGAGAAATCTCAATTGAGGACTCATCCTGTAACTAATATTTATGCTCTATAAGCCTAGATGATATTAATTTAAGCTTATTTATTTATTTCAAATGGCAGGCTTTATGATATTTATCATTAGCCCTTAATCTTTGACTTCAGCTTCCCCCAAGAGGGGGGGGGGGTACATTTATAGCAGTTCATTAGCAGTCTTCTTGGTTCCCAGTATTTTTGGCTTTCCGTCCTTGTCTTTAGAGCTGGACACCGAATCAGGTTTGTGACCAGAACCAGGATCGTCAATTATTTTGCGGCGAGTATGCTCACTGATGTCGCTTGAAGCCAAGAGTAAATCAGGAGTTGTTCTGGATCCATTGTAGTGCAAATATGTAGCCGGATCCTCAATGCTATAAATAAGTTCCAGAATGTTGCTGTTTAGCATGTCTTCAATTTCCTTACCAGCTATGTTTGTATCCTTGTAGCCCCATCTGGTGGAGTGGGCGTTGAAGTCTCCTAATACAATTTTGTTTATGTGTGAGGTGTTCAGAAAGTCAAAGTTTGGACAATTCTGGGGTGGATTATAGACTGCATATATCTTGAATTGGTTTTGACATTTCCAAACATTTAATCTGATTATTTCACATTTGTCTTGTGTTGAGCCCATACTCTTGATTAGGTCGTAGTGTGAGGTGAGGCCTTCTTTTACTCCAGTTAGAATCCCACTTGCAACTTGCCGGTATTTAGGTAGATTGTACAGGGTGTAACCTGGGAATTGGTAATACTTCAGTTTGTCATCCGAAATGTTAGCTTCCATAATTGTGAAAATGTCTACATCATAGGTTTGTAGGATTTTCTGTATTTGGATCTTTTTGTCCGGAGACATTCTTCCAGCATTCCACTGATTCGCCCTGACGAGGGCGTTTTTTCTTATATCCTTTTTTAAAGCTTATCATAATTTATCGAAGTCAAAATCGAATGCCGAGTGATAGACTTTTTTTGCCGTAAGAAAATACGTTGTCCAGGGTGCACCACGAGGAGGTAAGTCTATCGCGCACCCCTTAATTTAAGCTAAAATAGGTGAAATTCTCATACTTTTTAAGATACCTCAAACTGAAAGGGGTCGTGTATTACTATTTTTAAGTATCTCTGTTTTTGGGCTATTTTTGTTACGAAAGAATGCAGCTGATTGGCTGAAGCTCGAAGAGATGAAATCTGCCATGTTTTGGGTCATGTAATTTCGGCTCCTATGGACACACACATGCACTCATTATTCGAAGTGGTCACCCACATTGTTTCACTCCGGCTTCATTTAGACGCCTCCTGTCGCCAATTTCTAACCATAAGATTACTCGGCAAAAAGATTTTCCAATCGAGCTTGAGAATCGTCATTATTATCATAGCGTGTCTTTTTTATGCTCATGGCAAAACAAATGAGATGTCTTACAAATATGCTTGCATAATTGCTATGGCATTAAGGAGTGTAGTCATCTGTGATTTTGAAAACCTATTGAGAAAGCAGCTGTCTTTTTTGGAGTTATCTTAGACTAGTGGCATGCCGATATCGATTACTGGGGGGGGGGAAGGTTTCATGTCCTAACCATGTTAACTAGCATTGTGGCGAATTTTTGGATTAGTTGTGTCTTAAGGGGTTGTAATACTGAACCACGACACGTCCTCACAGGTTTCTAGTTATGACTGGAGCGCCGCCTACATGGTTGTCATGAGATGACTAAACAACCCCCCCCCCCCCCCACCGGCCCGGAAACGCCAGATTACTAGTCAAAACATGGAGGCTGGTGGAGATGTTGGTTGCATCGCGGAAACCTGATTTACACAACTTTAACACAAACGCTGTTACTTGTCTAGGCCATACCTTGTGACTTATAGTTAAGATAAGTTGAACAAAAAAAAATAATGTATCAATTCTAGAGACTGCTACAAGTGTAACAAATAGCATTTCAACTAATATGACTACTCTTCTGTTGCACATCAAAGTTGGGATGTTTGCCCCGTATCGCAACCGCCTATATATATATATATATATATATATATATATTTGTGGATATTTAAACTTATCCCAGGGTGTGCGATAGACTTATCTCCACGTGGTGCACCCTGGGCAACGTATATAAAAATAGTCTATTAACCGACAGTTAACCTCTGACTTCAAACTACCACCACCCCACTGTATACCATATTCCCCCACTTCCACAATACTCACCTCACCTTTTCTCTACCCTTGTGTCTGTCTGTTTCTTTTGCATCTCTGAAGCACTCTTCTGTTCCCCCCCCCTGTGAAGCCTGAAGTCAACTTAAGGGCTAGCGATAACTATCAAAATGCCTGCCATTTGATATATAAATAAATACTTATCCCTAAACGTGGTCTTATGCATAGGCACAAATTTTGGTTGTTGAAATTCCTCCAATCGAGGAAGCAAGATCCAAATTTCGATAGACTTGTCGGATTTGCGTTTCATCTCCTATCCACTTCGCCATGCTCTTTGTATCACTCTTGTGTACAAGAGGGAGAGAGGGATAGAGAGAGAGTCACAGCGACGATCGAATAATTCTGCATGGCCTTTGTAGATTTTTGCTTCACTCTTCTCTTTTCTCTTCTTCACTTCTTGCCCAATTAATCTATTTGATATTCTTTTTTCTATATAAGTGACTTCGAAGCATATTTGTTTTTTTATCAGTTTGCTGCAAATAAGTGGATATTAAGATGTGGGAATTTCGCTAAGAGGAGCGTATTATTCGATTATATGCGCATTTCGCAACACATCTCTGATAGGCGATAGCTGTACCTGAGGCTTTGTGGTCGAAGAAGGTGTTCTTCCTTACCCCCCCCTCTCTCCCTCAAAATAAATGCGAAACGATATTTCAGGTTAGTTCTGTTGTCTCACCACCCCCCGGGTTTCTTCTGGTTTCACAAATGAGCGTTGTTTAATTTTTATCTAGAAGGGAAAAAAAACCGTTCGCCTATCTCATGCTGCATTAACATCATTGGAAGATAATTTTGCGCACAATATTTTCTTGCCTTTTAGTCAAATCGAAATACGTCACCAAGCTCTCGTTCTCAAACAACGCCTAGCGTGGACAAGTTCTGCACGCCTTCTTCAACATCAGCAGCACAACCTCCTCATCGAACGAATCCGCGAGGTCTGTGACAATCAAGTTCTAACGGGCTATCAAAAGCACCAAGTCATTATTCAAATGCAGGAGATACGGAGGGAGCTGAAGCGTAGAAATGTCTCCGATGACGATATCTTCGCGTGCGATGTGAGTTTTTCGGGGGATTCAGCGCCCCCTCTTGCACTAACAGCAGGAAGTTCAGCAGAGGGCGTCGAAACCTCGACCTCGCAGGATCGGGTGACATGGTTTGCGAAGATATCCCGCGAGGGGGCTGAAGCAGCACTCGCTGACAAACCCACCGGCACTTTCCTCATCAGACCCTCCGCTATTTTAAATCAATTCGCTCTCTCCATTAAGTGAGTCCATCTTTAAATTCTTTGAATGCCCTGTCAATGCTACTTGTAGTGGTGGTGGCGTATCAATTAAGAAGGCGGGAGGGGATTCGATGCCAAGTAAGCTTCAGAAACCACTTTCCTTGGTGAACATGGGAATTGTAAGATTAAGGACTAGATTAAATGGATATTAAATGACTTGGGACTCCATTATGAGATTGAAACAGCTGGCTCAGTGACGATAATTACTTCTTGAGAAGCAGGCAAGGCGTTGGTAGGTGAGGGCTGAAGGTAGTTGGTGAGTTATTGGTTTGATGGAAGCATCTGATCATGAAAGATCGATTGGAAGGATCTCTTTGTGTGGGGAAACTGGTGGAATTTCGTAGTTTCGTTGTCGATTGTCGATTTTAATGAGAGTTGGCGTTTTAGTTATTGGCTTAAGTGCCTCCAATGTGTTGTATTAGCGCGCCTGGCAATAAGAAAGTGTATCCTACTTCTCCAAGCTTTGTATTCACATTTTCACCAGTTTGGTCTTAGTACTCTTCCTTAACCTCCTCCCCCCTCCCCCCCCTCCCCCCCACCACCACCTTTCAATCATTCAGAATAAATTTTTTTGTTCTAACGTTGAGACATATATATATATATATATATATATATATATATATATATATATAACTGGAATCGCCTAATTGAACATCATTTTGTTTCGTCCTTAGGGCCGGGGAAAGTGTTCACCATTGTCTAGTAATCAGTAATGAGGTGGACGGTTCTCCGCGTTTCGGGTTCAGCAAAAAATCTCTCGTTTTTGACTCCTTGGAGGACCTGGTTGACCACTATCGTATGAACAGTCTTGTTCAACTTAACGCCCTGCTTGACACACCCCTCGTTTATCCGGCCTTTCTCCCAACCGCAACTCAACAAAATCAACCCACCAAATCAACAAAATGATGAATGTCGATATTACTTAAATTGCAATGTCCCCTTTGTATATCTACCCCCCCCCCCCATACTATGCGCACAACTTGNCCCCATACTATGCGCACAACTTGATACTCCTCGTGTGTGCATTATTCTTGCAGAGTAGATTCGATGATGCATGCGCCTGCGTATTTGCTAGGTGATAATGGTTAAACTTACGGGAATAGGGTGGGGTGGGGGGGGGGGGGTGGAACATGTGAATTTGATCCTAAAGTTAGTGGTATCTTAGTCGGAATCTAATCATCTTGTACCCTTACACTGGGCTGAATCGCATTTTTGCATCTACACTCTGTGTAAACTTCTTCTTAAGTGGGTTCTGCTATATTCAAACTTATTAATTTGGTGCTGACGTATTTTAAGGCAAGTAGTTTGACATCACCTGACAGGACTCCGGTAGCTTAATGCTTAAATTTTAAGACAAGTTGTTGTAAGCACTTCACCACGCCATACGCATTAAGCCAAACTTGATGAGAAGAAAAAAACCCGTTGAATTCAGACCCCAGGCTGCAAGAACTGTGGCGCCGGAATTTCACTATTCAACGCATTTTTCATGCTCTTTCGTCCAGGTGGCGGAAATGAATACGACATTCACGTGTTTGAGTCGGATGTTGAGTAGAAACCTCACAACATCTGGACACTGCAATAATCCGTCTGTCCACGGCATAATCCCCTTTCTCTGCGTTCTGGTTAAAAGGGAAGCAGCAGTCTATTTATTTATATATCAAATGGCAGGCGTTTTGATAGCTATTATTAGCCATTTAGCCGACTTCAGGCTTCACAGAGAGGAGGAGGAACAAAGTAACAAAAAGTCGAGAGGGGGAAAGAATAATGATTCACAGATGTGGCAGAGACAGACAAAAGAGCAGAGAAAAGGTGAGATGAGTACTGTGGAAGTGGTCGACAGTGGGGTCATGGTGGTTTGAAGTCAGAAGTCAACTGCCGGTTAATAGACTTTTATCTTTGAAGTCAGAAGTCAACTGCCAGTTAATAGACTTTTATCTTATGAGTAAACGTTGCCCAGGGTGCACCACGTGGAGGTAAGCTTATCGCACACCTCGGAAGTAGCGATCAAAGTTAACGTGGCAGCCATCTAATTGTCCATTTTAAATTTGTGCATCCATTTGACTGCATCATTGGCCAAGATCCCAAATTTCATGCACAACAATGTTCAAGGTCATGGGTTCAGTTATGGTCCATGTTGAGTTGGATCTTCCTGTCTCGTCCTGGCTAATTGATTGATCTGCCTGCCATCTCGGCAACTTTTTTTGTCCTCTAATAATTAACAGGAACTAGTGCTAATTAAAATCGCATTGGTTAAATTGAAATAATTTTTGAAAAAAAGATAGTAAAGAATGAAGAATTCATTAAAAAGTGACAAATTGCTTAGTGAACAGCATCTGCTCATATATAATTGAGCTAAAGTACAAAGTCACGATCGCGTTATGTGCATAATTAGTGAAGAGGTTCAGATCCCCTCCAGACGGATGCATATCACGTCTATAAAGCATTGCAATAAAGTTATTTATATCTGAACTTTGGTGGGCACGAGGTGGAGAGTAGGAAGAGACCGGTGAACCATCTCTAAACCAGCATAACAATGAACACATTTTGACCTCTCAACCTTCGTCCCTATTATAGAATTTACTTATTTCAGTGATTTCCGAATCAAATTGAAAAATTTGCCCGCATTGATTAGATTTTAATGTAATGAATAAAGAGTTCAACATTTTTCTACCATGGGTGCGTGATAGACTTACCTCCACGTGGCGCACCCTGGAACAACCAAGTGAAAAAAACGAGTAATGTGTCAGACGATTATCTGCTCAAGTCTCGACCAATGAATTAGGATGCGGTCACCACGATTTCTTACGAATATGTCCCCTATTACCTAAACAGTTCCAAATTTGAATACCAATTCACAATGCATATGAACGTTGTTTCTGTCTAAAAAATTCATTATAAGCGAGGAGTAACTGGTTGTTTGAAATAGTACAGGAAAGTCAGAGAGCGGCCATTTTGGAAGATAAAAATGGCGACACCAGTGCGAAAGAAGTTGAATTAGTGCAAATGGTGCACGATGGAACGGGATTCAAGAGTTAGATCGTAGATAATGTGAGACAAGAAGGAGCAAATTTGCATACTCTATCTCGCACCGTCCATGAGACATTAACTGCTCACTCGGACGCTGGTTGGCTCTTTTTCTGTGTAATAAATGCTAGAATCTCCCCTAATTGGTTGGTGTAGTTAGAAGCATAGAGCGTTATAGTTTATATAAATGGCAAAAAAAAAGTCAACTTTTGTGGGAAAACAAAACTATAAACGCCCCTTGCGGTATTGCCTAATTGCGCTAAAATTAAATTCCCAATTGCCTCTAATTCGACTAATTCCACCAAGAATAGAAGACAATGCAAATTAATCAGGTTTCCATATTAGTACCAGCTTATATTCTACGTAGAATAACTTTTTATCTCCTAGGTGAATGGCGTATTCCGACTGAAACTCTGCCTAAGAAGGTGACTGCAAAGGTTTAGCAGCAATTGCCATA